TTCATCTGTTTGCCCTTTTCGAAACTTCCATATTCCGTGTATCTTTACCCATCTCTCATTCGGTTTTTTTTCTCTCTAGACTGCTTCATCAAGCAGGAAGTTCGCCGTGGACCTTAAGTTAAAATGAGCGAATTGAAATTTGTGACACGTTTGCATTTTGTACCTTTGAGTTCTGAGACGGAGAATACCGAGACGGAAGCCGCTTAGGTATCATAAATAGCTGTCACTGGTGTTTGAGTTTCTCTTGGAACGGAAGATCTAGCGAGCATGACTGTAGCTTGCCTTTATTTTTTCCAAGGACGAGAGAGATTGTAAGAAGGATTTTTATAGAGTAATATCAAAACCTTGAAAACAGATAAACTGTAGGAGAGCTTTTTCTGAAACCCGATTATCCGAACATGCAGGAATTTTTTCTATCTGGGCAACATCATCTTTTTTTCCAAAAGCAGAACATTTAGATAACATTTAGATTTGATTTTGTGTACTTGTTGTTGTTCTGTATGGTGGCCGAATATGAACGCGCGACATTGGCGCGTTCGCCAGATTCGCCACGTGAGAGTGAATTGCTGCTGTTTACGATCATGGTTTTGACATTTCGTTTGTGAGAGCCGACGTAAATGTTGGTCCCAACGTCGCTGATTGATGTAACACTGTGCTCGTCTTCGTGTAATTTCATATCAGTTTAACTTCCTCGGGTTTGGCGCATAGAAATCTTTTAAATTTTTGATATGTTATATTTTTCAACATAACAAAGCAATAGACGAAATAAAAAGTTGTTCGAATGAGTCTTAAGCTATCTTAATTCAACTTTAAAATTCAAATTTCGCGCTTTTCGCTTTATTGACCAATCAGAGCATTCAGATTTAATTTGATTAGAGAAATTAGCGCCTGAAAAATAACTGACGCTATTGCCGCGGGCTATTGTTTTTCTGCCTGCTTCTTAGCTGGACCATTACTTAATCTTCAATTTCCATACCCTCGGTCTAATTCTGCAAAGCGCACATTTGCTTACTCTGCTGCCACTCTTTTTAATTGCCTTGACACTGATCTTAAGCAAATAGCGTGTGTATCGCCTTCTTCTATCATTTTTTCATCTAGTTTGAATAATTTTAAGCATACACTCTTTATCTTATTCCTTAAGTTTGCTAGGTAACGTTACTCATCTTGAAGAATTAATGTGTTATGATTGTCGTTTTTCTCTTTATTGTAACTGTATTAGAAGGTAATTAGTTTATATCATCTTATATCTATGTTAAACCATACCTTTGTCTAGTTCTATATTTTCTCTTGTTATAGTCGTATATTACTGATTAGGCATTGTTTTTATATGTGTATTTTGAAGGCCGTAACTTAGATGACTCTTTAAGTTATCATGTCACCTTCGTTAAATAAAGAGTATTGTATTGTATTGTATTGACTCAAAAAACCTCAGGGGCGGGGGCAGCCACCACCCCTCTTAACTTACTGAAGTTAAACAGATATCTTTTCATTGCGAATTGGTTCAGCGATAGTTTCTTAAGCTTTCTTAAAATCACTGGCATAATGTTATCTCGACTCTCTCTAAGCCGGACAGTCTATGCTAGACGAACAGTCGGGGCCGGCCCCGAAGGTGTCTGTTTTAGACTGTAGAATCTAAACTGCATACAATAACTTACCTAGCAACCACTGCAAACGTAACAACCTCAATAGAGGTTGTCATTACATTTCCGTCTTCCCTTCTTTTTCCAGCCGAAATTTTTTGCTCTGGCGAAAATCACCGGTGGGAATTTTCGCTCAGGTATTTCGCTCTTGCGATTGCAGATGAGTCTTCTGTAACATCAAATTTTATTGACTTCTTTCGATGAACAGTTTCAAAGTTATTTTTTTTATTGCTGTGAAAACTAATGAGTCAATCGAAAGAAGCCGGCAATAAAATGAAATGTTACAGAAGACTCATAAGGATACAATATAGCCAAGACCCTATAAAAACGTGTCGGTACCCGTGTTATGAAGTTTAGGTACGCTTAGTAGGACATGTCTGCTCTAAAAACGGCTGCCACTTTACGCAGTATAGTAAAAGCAATGTTCATTTTCCACGTACGCTGTTATCTTTGGTGTCCGTACAGTTGTGACTTGGTAATCTCAGAGAAAATATTTCGCGTTTTATAATACACAGCATGCATTCTTTAACAAAAAAAAAAAATTCCACTCTGTTCTTTCGTGCTTATTGTGCCTTTGGTTAAAAGCGATTTAAAGCTGTTTGTTTACCATCGGTTTATCGCTCCATCGCTCAGATAACCAAGCTGATCTTTATAACAGATACATTTAGACTGATAAATGTACAAAGCTTTGGCAAACTTGACATGCTTTGTTTGTGCGAGGTCCGCGTTTCCTGTCAAACTTTTTGACAGATCACGCAGTGGCTTTCAGCTAATTGCACTGGGGGCAAGAAATGATTTTCATGGGCCTCTCGATCAGGCGCTCCTTCCCTCTCGAGCGCCCGTTCTTTCTCCTAAGCGCC